ATATATATATATATACACACTGTTGTTTCACTAGCATTGCAGGCTACCAGCAGTAGCTGTATTCCTCATGGAGGATGCAAAGCACACAATAAGAGTTAAGAGACTGTGGTGCCTCAAAATCCTACTCTATCTGCCTATTTTTGCACAGAATAACTCTCAAAGTTCTCTCCTATATAACTACACAGTAAAGTGGCCATTTTGACATTGAGCGTATCTAAAGGAATTTTTTTTTTTTTTCATTTTGGCAAAAATAATTGGGGGTTAGAACCTCTGGCAGATTTTTCTTTGCTGTCCTTGTTCCTGATGAGGAATTTCACCCTCTCTATTTTTCCTGGTGATTATTGCCTCCAAGGACTAAAACGAGAGAGAATCTAAAATATTTGACTTATCATTGGATCTGCAACATATTTTCCAATGAGGACACTTGTTCTGTAACAACTATCTAAGAACAGATCTTGTACTTCCTGTAGGCAGGAAGTGATGGAAAATATCCACAAGGGGCATAGGCAGCAACCCCCCCCCCAAAACAAATTAACAGGAGATTTAAGCATTCCCTACTCTCTCGAAAACTTAAAAAAAGGAAAAGGCTTTTTCTATAGCAGCTTACAGTGTTATTTACTGGGTGTGCTATTTAGTAACCATAGTTTCCAATAGTGTTCCTTTTATATCAGGGCCATAAACAAATGCAAATAGAACTCCAGTGCAATAGAAAAGGTTGTATACTCAACTCTTCCAAAGTCTATTTTCCTTCTGCTTCAACACTGTAGCTTCTGTAAGACTCAAAGCATGTCAGATATCCTTTACTGTGCACTATGGCTTGATCCTCTAAATCCTATGCTACTGTAGAGCCCTAAAGTGACGTAGGAGTTGGAGAAAGGAACCAAAGTGTATTAACATCAGCTACTCCCACAAACAGGAATGCTGAAGAGAGATACCAAGGACAGAGTCGGGTTCTTTTGGTTGGATCAGCATAGCACAGATATTAAAAAAAAAAAAAAACTGTATGCAACATACTGTAAATTACTATGTGTATTTTTATTCAAATAGCTGTAACTATGACAGCTAACATATAATTAACTGGTATTTTATTTTAGGTGATAAACTTGCTAGTGCTAATCAATTTCTAACCCATAGAAAATATGAATATTGCAAACCCAAAAGGTGGTACTGAATCCAGGTGCCACTGGCGCCCTGTGCTTTTTACAGATGAGAGCAAGTTTACCCTGAGCACATGTGAAAGATGTGAAAGGGTCTGGAGAAGCAGTGGAGAACGTTATGCTGCCTATAACATTGTTCAGCATGACCGTTTTTTGGTGGGTCAGTGATGGTCTGGGGAGACATATCCATGGAGGGATGCACAGACCTCTACAGGCTAGACAATGGCACCCTGACTGCCATTGGGTATCAGGATGAAATCTTTGGACCCATTGTCAGACCCTATGCTTGTGCAATGGGTCCTGGGTTCCTCCTGGTGCATGACAATGCCCAGCCTCATGTTGCGAGAGTATGCAGGCAGTTCCTGGAGGATGAAGTAATTGATACCATTGAATAGCCCCCATGCTTGTCTGACCTAAATCCAATATCATGTTTTGGTCCATCCAATGCCGCCAGGTTACACCACAGACTGTCCAGGAGCTTAGTGATGCCCTGGTCCAGATCTGGGAGGAAATACCCCAAGACACCATCCATCGTCTCAATAAGAACATTACCAACATTGTCAGGCATGCATACAAGCACGTGGGGGCCATACAAACTACTGAGTACCATTTTGAGTTGCTGCAATGAAATTTCAGCAAAATGGACTCGCCTGCTGTATAAATTGTTTCACTTTGATTTTCGGGGTGCCTTTGAATTCAGTCCTCTGTAGGTTGATAATTTTCATTTCTGTCAAACAATGGGGCATCCTTATGTTCCTAACACATTACCCAGTTCATATCAGTATAGATATCCAGCATGATCTTTTTCCCCACTGAGATCTGATGTGTTTTCAAAGTGTTCCTTTCATTGTTTTGAGCAGTGTAGTTCTTTTGGTAGAAATGTTGGCCTCAGAATGTTGAACTATTACCTGATGGGCAATTATCTGAATAATATTATTCAAGGAAGGAGAAACCAGCAGTGACATATATGGCAACCTCAAACCCTGCCAGCAACAACGGGGTCACTGCTCACCTCCTCCTACTCCTAAGACTATGAAAACCATGTTCATATGGTAATGAAAAAGCCACAGTCAATTTTTTCATAAGCTCCTGAGTAAAAGTTTTAAACTCTTGCCCAATGTCATTATAGTCAAATTTTGTTGAAACAGGCTGGCCTGGAACCAACCCACTTAATTTAAATTTATTCTGGAACCTAGTAATTTGTTCTTCCTTATTGTTTAGAATACTCAAATTACATCATCAGATCTTTTTTTTTTATAATAGCTAAGCATAAAAAAGCAAACATGCAAAGAGCATTCTATTTATGGACAATGCTTCTATTGTTATACAGTCAGCAACAATATGGACTGACACCTACAGCCCAACAATTTTCATTTTTACATTAGCTTTTACTCCGCTAGCTGTGACCTCAGTGGTGTAATGTTAATGTGACATAAAATTCAGCAAGAAAAATGTATAGTGTTTATTTCTAACAACATTCGGCCTGGCTCTAGTTATGTCTAATCTCGGATGATTTCCCAGAGAAACTACTTAGAGCAGAATGTAATGTTGGCCTGTTCACATCATCTGGAAATATAAACTGAGGTCAAGAAAACCACAACATCTGGAACGTGAGAAAAAGGTTTTGCTGTGAAGTAGTTAATGAACTCTGAAAATAAAGTCCCAGACTTCTCTAATTTGTTTAGGCTTCAAAGAAGAGTTTAATGCAAAACTGAAATTGCTGGAGTGTTGTTCCTCTGAAGAAATAAAAGGAACACCTTTCTTGATTTAAAAATGTAAGTTTGTCCTTTTTAGGCTGCTCTAGATCTTAAAATAGACACTTGGTACACCATAGCGCAACATGCACTGAGATTTTTATGTGTGAAGGGCTGTGCATATCAGCCATAAATAAACATTAGTGATTTTAATGAAATGACTATACAGTAATTAGGGGTTTCCTTTCCTGGCTTACCTTGGCAATCCTAGGCTTTGGTGCAAGAAAGTGCCATTGACAAATTGGCAAGATGACAATGCCATGTTCAAAGTAATTAAATCATTGCAGTCACAGCAGTAGTAAAAGTAGGACTGTCCTAGTTATAGCTGGAAGAATTTTCACTTTGTTTTTAATCTGTCCCAATCAACCTGGGAACAAGGTGTTTTGGGGGGAGCCCCAAAACCGCAAAGCAACCCACCCCCATGTTGAGAGCATGTGATCTGGCATGGTTCAGGAGAGGGGTGCTCACTCATCCCCCCCTTTCCTGACCTGCCAAGCTGCATGCTCTGATAAGGGTCATGCATGGATTTTAGGGGGGACCCCTAGGCCATTTTAAAAAAAAATATTGGCTTGGAGTTCCTCTCAAAATCTATACCAGTCTAAGGGTCTGGTATAGATTTGTGGGGGACCCCGCACAGTTTTTAAAAAAAAAATTGGCGTGGGGTTCCCCATAAGGTTCATACCAGACCCGAAGGGCCTGGTAAGGATTGGGGGGATGACACCCACTTTTTTTTCTTAAGTTTTAATTACCAGCAATTCTTTTTTGCATCCAGCTGTCAATAGCGAACTCCTCTGACAGCTGATGCATCATCAGTTGTTAAGGAAGCATACACTGCTAAATGCAACTGAAACGTGGGCACAAAAATGTAAAAATACTGAAAAAAAATGCTAATATTGTGTATTTTTCATCCAGCATTGTTACGCTGTTTTTTTTCACCTTATGGAGTTGCAATCAGAAAGACCTGCATTTTTCTATTTTTGTTTTTGTATACCACCTTCGTTTTGTTCATCTCTAAGGCTCGGTTCACATTGCTGTAACTTTTGTGAGTTAACATTGCAGTCTATGGCACTCAAGTAGCATCAAAGTCACAGAAAAGTAGTGCAGTAACCTTTGTTTGTCACTGCAACTTGTGTTACATTGATTAAGATGTCACCTATTGAAATTAATGTGTTTTGACTTGTCGTGGGACTTTATGTGTCGCAAGTCTCATGATAGGTTGCAGCAGTGTGAACCAGGGCTGACTTGTTATCTTGGCACATGGAAGCCTTCATGAAGGCACTATGAGGGACATATTTAGACATATTTCTGCTCTAGCTCCACCTAAATGATTAAGGTGTCCGTTTATGAACCAGCAGTAATAGCTCGCTGCTCAGTTCTCCGGCATTCTCGGAGAACACAGTTCTCCTGTGAATGCCTTTTATGAAGCAGTTCTCCAAACGAAGGGAGAACGGTCTCCAAACGCTGGAGAACGGTCTCCAAACGCTGGAAAACAGCTCATTTTATTATAATCTAGTGAGATTACAGTAAAAGATCAGTTTACTAAGCAGAGGTAAATTATCTCTGCTTAGTTTGCGGTCCCTCCGATTCTCCAGCTCTGGGCTGGAGAATCTGAGGGAGAACACAGATCTCCAGTGAAGAGCTGAACAGTTCTCCACTGATCTCCTGAGTGTCATAAACTGTGAATGACCAGAGAATTGCTGAGATCCCCTGAATTGCAGCTATTCTCTCTGTCATAAACGGACACTTTAGTCAATTTGTACAAGACCAACCCCTTGTGAGGTGGTATTGCACTATAAGACCCATCAGAGGTAGCGTGGGGTCTGCTTTACTTGCATAGATATTTTTCAGCTGTACAGAACAGCACATCCTATAGTGAAGATAAAATGAGGGCGCAGATGGCTCATTATGGCTACAGAAGCTGCTTTCAACTATCCTGGGCCTGTTTTTGTGCCAAAAAATGACTCATTATTATATGTTTGTTTTTTTTTATGGAATAAATAGACTGAAAAAAATAAAAAAAAAGTTAAAAAAACAAATGAATTAAAAAAGCAGTACATAAACTTTGACCAAATATACAATAGAAGAAAAAAGACACAAATACAAAGAACACTTACCGTATTTTTCACTCCATAAGACGCACCTGACCATAAGTCGTACCTAGATTTTAGAGGAGGAAAACAATAAAAAAAAAATCTGAACCAATGGAGTGCAGACATAGTACAGGAGATGACCGGAGCAGGGGCGGACTGGCAACTCATGGGCCCCCGGGCAATAGGGGATCATGGGGCTCTTGTGTCCTCGCCCACACTTAAACCACACCCAAAAAAAAGCCTATGAAAGGTACCAGGGGCATCTCATGGTGCCTCCTACTGACCCCAGGCCCTCAGGCAGTGCCCGAGTGCCCAAATGGTCAGTCCACCCCTGGACCAGAGACTGCGGATATAGTACAGGAGATGACCAGGACTGCGAACATTGTACAGGAGATGACCAGAGACTACGGACACAGTACAGGAGATGACCAGAGAGTGCAGACCTTTGGGGAGGGGTGGGTACCCAATTTGACAGGTACCCGCTCCCACGTCTGCGGAGTTGTCCTCCCCCCCCTCCCTCCCCGTAGTCTTGTGGGACACGTAACAGGTCCCAGAAGACTACAGGGCCATTCCCAAAGTGCAATGCTACTCGCGCATGCACAGTGGGCACCCGGCTGTGAGGCCGCAAGCTGTCACAGCTGGGTGCCCACACTGAAGATGCTGGCGCCAGGGAGAGAAGACAGCTGATGGAAGCAGGACACCGCTGGACCAAGGAACAGGTAGGACGGAGGAGCAGGTTCTTCTGCACAGTAGAGCAGGGTGACAGGCCCAGTATTCTAACACGGCGGCGGCGGCGGGAATACCGCTCCATATTCCCTCCATAAGATGCACAGACATTTTCCCTCATTTTTTTGGGGGAAAAAAGTGCGTCTTATGGAGCGAAAAATACGGTAATTAAATAAACAAACTAACAATACAGTTTCCCAAAAAACACAAATAAGATTACATATTTATTCCAATCAAATTTTGCCCGTGAAGCTCAATGAACAAAATTGAGAGTTTTCATTTTCCAAAAGTTTATCAAAAGCAAAATGAGCAATTTTATGGCAAAATCCATCACTCTGCTAGTTACCTGTGCTACTGGTTTCAGCTCAGGCCTCAAAGAAAACTTCATTTACACGTGATATGAATGGACATGTGTGGTTTCAATATTCTGCTACCGTTTTTCCAACTCCTAGGGTCCTAGGCATGGAGATTCCCCTTTAAATCCAACCATCAAAGGTGTTTATGTTATCTCATTTTCTTCATAAGCAAAGTCACATGCTGAAACTGCTGGATTCTGTATTTATTCATGAATTAGCAGGTAAATCCGAACATCAATGCTTTGCAAAAAGCTGAGGGCAGCACAGTGGCTAAATGGTTAGCACTTCTGCCTGGCAGTACTAGGGTTGCTGGTTCGAATCCCAACCACCTGCCTGGAGTCTGCATGTTCTCCCTGTGACTGCGTGGGTTTCCTCCGGGTACTCTGGTTTCATCCCACACTCCAAAGACATGCTGGTAGGTTAATTGGCTTCTGTCTAAATTGTCCCTAGTATGTGTATGTATGAATGTGAGTTAGGGACTTTAGATTGTACACCCTTGAGGGTTAGGGACTGATGTGAATGTACAATATGTATGTAAAGCGCTGTGTAAAATGACAGCGCTATATAAGTACCTGAAATAAATAAATAAATAAATAGATACCTTGGTATTAGAAGTCAGGATCTCTGGTGTAGCTTCCTTAGACACAATAGCTTGGATTAAATTTAAATATATTTTAAGAAATAACTCACCCCAGAGGGTTAATCTAAATCTAGGGTATCTATAAAATTATTTCCTTCTATGCATTTAGAAAACATGAAGCAAAAAAAGTGAAAAATAAAAATGAGCTTTTCTGCAGTACTCACTTCAATCCTAAACTGTCCACACAGTAATTCCTTTCCACCACCAGATGTCCTCAGTCTTCCAGGTTGAATGATAGCTAGCTTTATTCAACCAACTTCCTTTGAGCCCAGGCTGCCATGGACCCACCCTTTGGGTCAGCATCATCAAGCAGCAGTATTACTGCACTCTCATGTCACTATTCATCTTTTTCTTTAAAGAAGTGGTTGTAAAGCTTTAAAGCAGTAGTAAACCGTACTTAAAAAAAGAAAGAAAAAGGTTTCACCTGCACGGTAATGACATAATGTGCTAGTATGCATCACATACTAACACATTATGAAAGACTTACTTTAAAATGAAGCCCTCCAGCGGCGCGCTGTGACCGCTGCAGAGGCTTCCATTTTCACCTGGTCTTCCTTCTAGGTTTCTGAGCTCTGACTGTCTGACTGGCCGAGCTGCGATGATGGGAGGCGCATGAACTCGGGAGTCCCTAGACACGGCACAGTGTTTTAAAGGAATGGCATGGCTATGCCGTTCCTTCAGAGTGCATGAACCGGCTGTCAAAAGGAGCGAATATCTTCTAAAAGGCACACGTTTAGGAGATATTCATTTTATCTACAGGTAAACTTTATTATAAGTATTAAAAGCATAGCATTATTATAATATAATACATATTTTTATCTACAGGTAAGCTTTATTATTTTATACTTTAAGTATTAAAAGTATACAAAAGCAGTTTATTACCACCTTAGGTTTTTTTTTTTAAATCTTTATACATTCTATACATTAAGATAAAAAACCTTCTGTGACTGGCATCCCCCCAGCCTCTCTTATAATTACCTGAGCCCTACAATCCAGCGCTGCAGCTGAGAGCTGTGGCTCTTTTTGCTCTGTTTCTTCTCAGAGGGCAGATCAATAGCAGCAAGAGCCATTGACTCTTACTGCTGTCAATCAAATTCTGTCAGGGGGAACGGGAGGCGGGGCCAAACTCTGTTTCTAAGGATGCAGGCAGCGCGGCTCGGGAATAAACCCGCACAAACGTCTTATGGAGGCACTCGCTGAAGAGCGCCGGCAGGGGACCTGAGGGTTAGGACTGTTCTGTGCAAAACTTTTGCAAAGAGCAGGTAAGTATAACATGTTTATTATTTTAATGAAAAAAAAATCAAGCTTTACAATCACTTTAATTTACTTCTGCCTTAGTCAGAGATTTATTTGCTTTTTAAGATCAGTGATGCTATAAGTATGACATTTCCAGCTTACAGAGAAAGGGACTTGATCACTTTTCTCACATGGATTACAATGTGAACATATACAATATATGCATAAACTGAGTGTGTGAGAATAAGAGTTTTTGGAAAATGTTTTGCTGAAGCACATTACTAGTTAACCTTCTCATCCATTTGCTCTGTTTTTTACACATTTCCTATGGAATGCCTCTTCACAGAAGTTATTAACGTCTGGTAATGTGAGCCGAACTGCTTGCATATTCAAAGGAAAGTATTTCTACTAAAATTCATATTTCACAAAGAGAAATGCATGCTGCCAGGATCATTTTTTGGAACTTGAAGGAAAGGGAAAAAAAAAAACTGTGAAACTGTAACCCACATATGTTAGTTCACATAAACATATTATATGTGTCACAGAGAATAAGAGACATTCCAAGGTCTTGAGATAAAATCTAAGCTTCAAGTAGATACAAAAAAATACAAACTAATAATAAAAAAACATAAGCCAATGCATTTATGCATTAACTAAGACTCATTAATGTATTTTTCAATCAAATGTAAGGATATGAATTTGGCTTAGCATGCCCTGTACAACAACACTCAGACTGAGAGAGAGAGGGTCAATATTAGGAGCCAATCAGGCTGTGTTCCATACACATGTGCTGAAAAAAAACTTGCTGACAGTTTGGTAGAACTGAGTGAGAAAACTGATGAACTTATCAGTCTGCTGCTGTTTCTTCACTGTCTAATCACCGGCTTGAGGCAAGGGGTGACCTGGCTGTTTTGCTTAACTCCAATGGAGAATGTCTAGCCACTGGCCAGAATGGATGCTTCGGATGGGTTGAATAATTGCTACCCCCACTGCATACTGTCATTCCTTCCATTGGCTCAGAGGCCTGTGATAACATCTGAGCCAGTGGGAGAAACACAGGTCTCTCTGCTGTCAGCATGGACATGCTGCTTTGTATCTCTCTGCACAGAACTATAATAAATAATTGTTCTTCATAAAATTAGGGCAAAATAATCCAAATTAGTGTATATTATTTAGTCTATAGGAAAGAACAAATCCACAAACTAGGGTATATATCTGAAAATCAATCAATCCTAATGTACTGATGGCACTGATTTCATTTCTTGAGGCCCAAAAATGTCAGGACAGTACAGATATCCCCCAGATTACCTCTTTGTGGAAAGTAGACAGTCTGTGGTACTTAGTAAGAGGCATGGCAAATTTTTTGAAGTTGTAAGTTTTTTTGATAATTTTTTGGAAAATGTAAAAATTAAAAAAAAAAATCACCATGCAGTACAGCGTCATCATATAGCTGGTGTGGTGATGATCATATATATATATAATTTCATTTTTTATTTTTAAAAAATGTTTTAATTTTTTTTTACGATTTTTTTTAAAACTAAAACACTGTGACCAGGGTAATATAATGTTACCATAGTAAATTTCACTGCTATAGGCAAGCATTTAACTGAATTAAATCAATTAATTCAGTGTTTTTTGTTGTGATTAGCTGTGGTTGGCTGCAGCTAATCACATTACACAGATGGCTGTGATTGGCCTAGTCCAGGGGTGGACTGACCATTTGGAAACTCGGCACTGCCCGAGGGTGCAGGGTCAATAGGGGGCCCCATGAGATGCCCCGGTACCTTTTTCATAGGCTTTTTTGAGTTTAGGCAAGGACACAGGGGCCCCATGATCCCCTATTGCCCGGGGGCCCCATGAGTTGTCAGTCTGCCCCTGGCCTAGTCTGTACATGAAATCACTTTGACAAGTCACAGCTAACAACAATATACTGTATGCAATGGATGGAATGAAAGGAAGCCATCTATTGCTTACAATTGTAATGTGTCACATAGTACTGGCAATGAGCCTATTCACAGATTGGTCATCAGCTGTGTCCCATGGACAGCTAGTGACAGATCTCGCTGCAGCACAGATTTGTGAGCGTGCGCAAGGCAGTGATCTGGGAAGACGTCATATGATGCCCACCCGGATCAACAAAAGTCCCGCTCAGCCATCATTCTCCTATAGGCTGGGTGGGGAACTGGTTAAATATGCTTTATTTTACGCAGAGATATATATGCTGTAGACCATTTTTTGACCATGTTGCATTTATAGTTAAAATATTTCAAATTAAATACCACTTTTGTGGCATTTCACTTTCTACAGATTAAATTACAATATAGAACGTTATGGCATGTTTTCAAATGTTGTGCCCATCACATATAAGTAATAAAATGAAATACAGTACGTCTAAGTAAAAGTCGTGAAATGTAATAGTTAGAAGTAAAATAATTTTATATAGGAAAAAAGCTTTGGTAAGCTTTTTATAAGAAATATATTAA